ATTAAAATAAAATGGTAATAAATTAAATAAATTTTTATTTGATCAATAAATAACATTAAATTAATATAATAAATCACGTGAAATTTAATATCAAAAATCAGTAAACTTTATTAAATAAAAAATTGATTTTTCACATAAAACTAATGGTCCTACTCAATCTGGTCAGTCTGGTCTAAACTGATCCTAGTCTTGTATTTAAAAAAAAAAAGAATATGAGAATTTAGAAATTTTAAATAAACGAAAGAATAAAACAAAATAAGAAAATGAAGCTTACCATAACCGTCTAGAATTCAGATCTGAAAAGCTAAAAGAAACATCTAAAAAAAGAAAGTAAATAAAGATTAAAGCAATGTAAGAAAACGAATTTACTACCTTGCATCCAGCCGAAGAACCCAAAGATCTAAAAAAAAAAGAAATTGGTTAATTAATAACCAAGCAAAAGAAGGAAGAATGAAGCAAAGAAAAAAAGAAATGAAACGAAACTTACCACCTTGTATCCAGCCAAAGAATCCAAAGATCTAAAAAAAAGAAATTGGTTAATTAACAACCAAGCAAAAGAAGGAAGAACGAAGTAAAGAAGAAAAGAAATGAATGAAACTTATCACCTTGGATCCAGCTGAAGAGTCCAAAAATCTAAAAAAAGAAATTGTTTAATTAATAACCAAGCAAAAGGAGAATGAAACAAAGAAGAAAAGAAACAAAACTTACCGCTTTGGATCCAGCTGAAGTATTAGATGTAATAGATGTAATAAAATAAATACCGGTAATTTTAATTTTAATTTTTGAAATTATATAATTACATATAAGTACATCTCAATACAATTGTGATCTGAAGGGTGTGATTGTATAGAAGGTCGACTGTAATTGAGATAAGCTCTATGAGTGATATGAGAAATAGAAGGCTAAAGAAAAAAATTCTCACCAGAATATTTTAAATTTGCAAGCACAAATTTTAGTGTTACAGAATAATCCATTTAATTAAGTAAATATGGCAGGAATACTGCAACTATTTTTAACCAGGGTGATGATATCCCAGATTTCCTTGCGAAACTTAGATTATACTTGCAAAACTAAGGTATAGATCCAGCAGATAATGCGAGAGCTCCAGTAACAAGAAGAGATCAGGCAATAGGATATTTATGAGGTTGTATGTCAAGAAAAACTTTAGAATAGTTCAATGAGGAGATTACTATTAAGGCAAATTGGAAATTAACTAATTTGACTGATGGTACAGAACAAGCCAATTTGGTAGCTGTAAACAGACGTACAACTATTCAGATAAATGCTGATAGATTAAATGAGATACTTAGACAATCTGGAAATACAATAGTAAAATTAAAACTGTAAAAGGTCCATAGGATGAGGACTGGCGTATAGTAGGAGGTTGTCTTACTAATCTTCCTGTTAATCTACCAAATGCAGGTAATAAAACTACAGTAGTTGTAGCTGGCATTCGTTTTAGTTAGGCTGTATGGTAGTTAAAAACCTATTTTCCTATAGTAGAAGAGGAGCTTTGGGATTTGAAGTATGGAACAATTAGAAAGGAAGACATGACTATAGATGAATTATATAGAAAATATTACGAATAGGTAGACAAGCTAACTATAGGCCTGAAGAATTATGTAGAAAGTTTTTAGATGCTCTTCCACTCCTATGGCTTGAAAAAGCTGAGGATATTGGCGAACATTTACCATTAGATGAATTAACTAAAAAGCTTTATGAGATTGAATTACGCCAAATAGCTAAACATAAAAGAAATAATAAATCTGATCTGCTAATATCTAATTGAGCATCTAAGCAAATATATGAACCTTTACCGCAACAGCATGAAATATCTTTAGAAGATATGCAAAAAGCAATTCAGAATGCATTAGTACAGCAAAAAACTGAATACCAGTCTTTATTAAAAAAACAAAAAGCTGATTACTAATCACAAATGAGCCTGCAAATTAAAAAGATACCTCAACCAGTTTCTTCTAAAAATATGGAACAGATTTGTGATACATATAAAAGTGATAATCCTTTCTCCAATACACTTACTAAAGAAGAAATAATGAAAGAGGTTGCAAAAGCTTATGAATCACCTCCTAAACTGCAAAAGCCAGAAAAGTTACAATTATCTAGTATCGATAGATTAGAATCAAAGATAGATGAAATTGGTCAAATAACATCTAAGTTTAGTAGGATATTACTTAATGAACAATTTCAAAAGCCTTTTTATTGTAGCAATTGTGAACATGAAGGTCATAAGAAAAATAATTGTCTCAACTTAGCTTTTGCGTTTTCAGCAAATCCTATAGTTAATCAAATATTACATATTACTATTCTCAACTTCTATCTACATAGTCCTAATACAATCTACTATACAACAAATGTTATTGGTAATTTTTTTAAATAATAATAATCCTTTGCTACATTTTAAATAATAAATATTTATAAAAAAATTTATAGGAGATTAAAGCTTTGCAAGAAGTAAATCCAATATCAACGCCAACACTAATGCCAACACCAATACTAATAACAACGCTATCAACCTCTATTGAAAAACCAATACAACGATATATTTCAGCTAAGAAGATTCAGGAAGTTTTTCAAATGGACAAAATGAAGTATCAAAACATTTTGGTAAGAATAAATAAATTATAAATATTATATTATT